AACCGATTCTCATGAAGTATGAAAAAATGAAGTATGAAAAAACTAATACATTACTTTTTGAAATAATCGATTAGTTTTTTAAATAGTTAATATATATATATATATATATATATATTATATTATAGAAATGAAAATAATTTATACTTTGGAGAATATATATATATATATATATATATATATATATATATATATTAAAATATAATTTATTTTTAAGTTGATAATTTTTATTTTTATTTATGTAAATTTTATATATAAAATTAATTTAGAGTTCATATATGTAATTTTAATTTATGTAATATATATATATATATATATATATATAATTTATATAATATATATAATTTATTTAACATTAATTTTATAGTTATAATTATAAATAAGATTTTTTTAATTATATAATTATAATTTTTATAATATATAATTGATAAATAATGTTTTTTAATTTTAATTTAATATATATTTTTATTTATGATTTTTTAATATATATTTAAGAAATTAATCAATTATAATCTATAATTTGAAAAACTAATCAATTCTAATCAATTATTTAAAAAACTAATCGATTATAATTAATTATTTGAAAAAATTATCGAATATAATCGATTATAATCAATTATTTGAAAATATAATCGATTATTTGAAAATTTAATCAATCATAATGAAATATGTTGTTATATATGATAAAGTGAGCATATAATAGTGGTTTCACGTTAACCGCTATCTAAAATATATTTAAGATAGCGGTTAACTTGGAACCGCTTATTATATATTTTCAAATATAATCGATTATTTGAAAATTTAATCGATCATAATGTGGTGAGCTATGATAGTGGTTCCACCTGGAACCACTCTTAAAAGTTAACATATAATAGCGGTTCCACGTGGAACCGCTATTATATGTTATATTATAGAAATGAAATTAAGTTATACTTTGAAAATTATAATTATAAAATTTATAAAAATATAACTATTTTTAATGTTAAGTAAATTATATATATTATATAAATTATATATATATATATATATATATATATATATATATATTACATAAATTAAAATTACATATATGAACTCTAAATTAATTTTATATATAAAATTTACATAAATAAAAATAAAAATTATCAACTTAAAAATAAATTATATTTTAATATATATATATATATATATATATATATATTCTCCAAAGTATAACTTAATTTTATTTCTATAATATAATATATAATAAGCGGTTCCACGTGGAACCGCTATTATATGTTAACTTGTAAGAGCGGTTCGAGTGGAACCGCTATCATAGCTCACCACATATTTCATTATGATCGATTAAATTTTCAAATAATCGATTATATTTGAAAATATACTAAAACAATTAAAGTATATTTATAAAAAAATAAATTTAAGGATAATAAAAAAATAATATTCATTAGCGATCGATTTCAATTCGGTCCCTATTTTCTCATTAGCGACCGATTTTAATTCGGTCACTATTTCAATTTGTAATTCGGTCGCTAAATCAGTCGCTAAATGATTTTTTTTATTTTACTATGGAATAACCACCGATTTAGCGATCGAAATTTTGCGACGCAAAATATTGGTCGCTATTTCGATCGCTAAATAAAAAAGTGAAACCAAATCATATTTTGGTGGCTAAATCGGTCAGCTAAATTGCGACCGAATTAACTTGGTCGCTAAATCGGTCGCTAATTGCGACCGAATTAAAGTGGTCGCTAAATTGGTTGCGAATTGCGACCGAATTAAATCGGTCGCTAATTGCGACAAAAAATTAAATCGATCAGCTAATTTCGGTGGCTAAATGTGTTTTTTCTTGTAGTGATCTTTTAAATTTTAAGTTGTTTTTATTTTTTTTCTAGAATATTAAATGTTTTAAAATAAATATTTCATAATAATCAAATAAAAAATACATTTAAGTGGTTATTAGAAATTTTTAATTTTATGATGATTAAATTAGAAATATAATTAGATCTAGAGTAACTAATATTTATGATAAGTCTCATTAATTTTAATTACAAGAAAGAAAACTAAAATAAATTTATACAAATTAATAATGGAAACTAAATTTTGTAATTAATTTTATTTTTTTGAAGAGTTTGAATCTCATTAACCATAATAATAACACTTTAAATTACTAGTTTTATATGAAAAATCAGTGTTTCAAAATATTATTTATATTTTTTTTTCAAGAAAGTGATAAAGAATAAACAAATTAAGAGGGCATAAGAAGGAGTAAGATAAAGTAATTCACACTATTATGAGTTTATCAGTCAATGGTCCAAGAGAGTCCAGTAAGTATTAAAATAGAATAAAAAAGAACTGAAATTAGATGTTCCCAAACATATGTAAAAAGGGGGAAAAAAGAGAAACCCTAAATTGTGTAATGGGTGTTTCAAAGCACAAAATAGAAAGGGGAGAAAAAGGGGTTTCAGTTAACAACCCTATAGTGCTTATGTTTCACCTTCATTACTACAAATTTTCAAACGTGAAAAATATATAATGAAACAAAACAACAATTGGTATTGTATAAATGAAATTTAGTTAAAATAAATAAAGCAGAATAAACAATAATATTCTTTACTCTTCTTCTATATATGTTTGAATTGAACTATGATTTATTATTATTATTATTATTATTATTATTATTATTATTATTATTATTATTATATTTTTAGATAATAAAATTAATAATTTTTTAAATTTAAAAAATGAGATAACATAATTGTTCTCGTGGTAATTAATAAAAAATTAATCAAATTATAAATTTTAGATAACTAAACTCATTCAAATGATTAGAATATTCTCCATAGTTTAAATACTTATTAGATTCCTCTACGTATTATTAGTTAATTAATTTTAGGTTGAAATCTTAACAATTAATTAGATTTATCCAATAAATTATTTAATTAACCTAATATTAATTTATATTCTAACTTCTAGTTTTACTTTTTCTCATTTATAATGTTCTTATTCATGTATAAAATAAGTATTCATAATTCCTTATACATTATAATTAAAAATAATAAAAGATACATGAAAGTGATGAATTGTTTAGGGTTTGTTAGTAAGTGATTTACATTCACGGTGAATAATGTTTGCTATCATATAAACTTTCGGTATGTATTTCACCTAAATTTTTCAGTGAATTGCTCTTAAATAATTTCCATAATAATTCGGAGATCAATTCAAAAGTTATCAATATAGTTTAGGAGTCATGTCATTGAGTTCAATTATTTAGAAAGTCCTTATTTACAAATTTTGAAATAGATAAATGTATATTTTAAATTCGTAATAAAAAAACATTAAATTTTAGAATCCAATTAAAAGTGAATTATTCTCAAATATGAGAATCTATTAAAAAGTTCGCAATAAAATTACGCTACTAAGAAACTAATTTAAGTTTGAAATTTATGAACCAACAGATTCCAACTTTGTCTTATTTATACTGTGACGTAGTATTTATCTCATTTGAAGTGAAGGAATCTTTGGATGAAGAAGTAAAATTAAGCCTCTCGAATAAAGGTAATAACTTCATGGTAGAGTAAAAAAGATTGAACTTTCTAGAAATATTTGAAATTTTCGTCAAAAGGTCAAATTTTTTAATTAAAGTAGTTTAAAAAGTAACTCCATGTCAAAGTTTGGGGGCAAAATCAGGATTAACTTTAAGCTTTAAAATAGGGGCATTTGTGGTACAGGTTCAATTTTGTTTTAATAACTCATAAAATTTAAATATAATTCGATTTGATTTTTATTTAAAAAAAAATCTGAATCAAATCAAATTAATATTTTATGATTTGATTTGAATATTTTTATAATTTTTGTATTGTAAAATTATTAAATGTATTACGATGAAATAATTACTTAATAAAAAAATATTATAAAATTATTATACATAATTAATTATAATATTCATAATTTTAATTTTTGTATGTTTTTATAAAAAGTGTTATATTATACTTTAATTTCAAATATATATATATTATTTTATTTTATTTTATTTAAATTGGTCATTGACTATAAATCGAAAACCAAACTAATTGGTTTTGAAAAATTTTAATTCAAAAAATCTCAAAAAAAAAATTATTTTGATGGATTTTCGATTTTTTAAATCAGTTTTTAATTTCACTTTTTAATTGATTTGGTTTTCAAAACCCCTACCTCAATCTAGTCATCTAAAGGCAAAGGAAACATGTTTTTTTAATTAATAAAATCAAGTTTTTCATTTATCATTAGATTTTTTTTATATTTTTTTTACTAACCCCATTACATTACGTATTTGTTTCTTCATGCAAAAGCAAGGAATATTAGGCTTTGTTGTACAAGACAATTAATATTACCACGTAAATTTATTCTCTAATATTCATAATATTGGAAAAACAAAATCAAAATCTATTTTAACATTTATTATTAGAATAAGCCAATTTTTTATTCAGAAATATTCTGTCTCTGTATTAAAAATACGTACCTTCTTACAAACATAATTAAAATATATCATGTAAATGACGTTGAATTTTTTTTTAATAAGTCCATCTTGTAATATTTTAGTTAATTCCAAATTCAAATTCTAAGAATACTTTAGTTATGAACTCATTGACTTCGTAGTTAATTTGTTTTGAAGTCATTTTGTAATATTTTAAAGTTGTATCCTTCTAAAGGTTTCTAACACATGAACCAATTCACTTCTTCTTAATTTTACAAACTCTGATGAAACATACAAGACAAGTGTATCATAAAAGAGAAAATCACTTTAGAGAATACCTTCATTGAATTTTAAAAAGATTATCTGAATCACATAAAACTAAAATTCAAGACAGCAACCTTATTAACATTCAACCATATCCCTGCCCATTTTATATTGCTAAGAATGACAATGTTGCAATCAAACCACAAACTCTGATAAGAAGGTTAAAACAAGAAGAAAGACACATTAAGAAAACAACAATTTGTCACACAACCAAGTTCATAACCTCTAGAGCACCATGAAGATACATTTAACTTGAATGTGAACCTTTGTTAACTTTTTCAAGAGCTGGTGATCGTGGACTAGGTGTTTGCATCAACTTGATCTCCTTCCCAGTTGGTCTCAGGCTGCTTTCCCCTCTCAATTCAGTCACTCGAGGGCTTGAGATACTCCTTCCAATCTGAGGACTACTAGCTGGTCTTATATCTCCTGTTGAAGTTGGTGTTGAACTTGTTGTTTTGGGGCTGTGTATGCGGCGAATCTCTCCACGACTCCTCGTAATAACTTCATCAAGAATTTCCCCACCACTGATATTTACTGTTGGTGCTTGGTTACTTGGACCCTGCCAGGTTTATAGACATTAAAGGCTGAACAATTTAGTGCTTAATAAGCTCTTAGGGAATGTAAATTTTATACAAGTTCTTTCATCTAATTTCTCTAAAATCTAGAGTGTATTATAAGTTGATTCAAATATAGTATAGAAGTTTACTGCATTTATCTTATTGAAATAAGTCTAAAAGGTCTCATCTTTGTACTAATCTGATATGGGTTAAAGTCAAGTTCATGTCTTACTTCAAAGGACATGTTGAAAGCAATGGCAGGTGCTTCCTCGTATGCTGCTGCATCCAGCTCTTGAAGATGGGCACCTTTGAAAAACTTTGGAAGACAATACTGCCGTACTGGGACAAGAAGCATGATTAACAATGGGAAAAGGACCCCAGCAATTGGTATCCAGGTTATGCCGAAGCAGAGAAGCAAGTACACTGTCTGGAACACTGTAAACATGGCTACTGTTTTGAAGGGAACGGTCTCAACAAAGGTGGCATGGTACTCTTCCAGCAGTCTAGGAAAGTAGGAAAGCCAAAAGGGTCACCAAATATAGTGAAATGCCAATACTAAATAACAAGCATGTTAATATTAAGATGGATACAATTGAAATTAATGGAAAAACTCAAGTCTTATATTTGATCAGAGTTAGTGTCTGATCTGATGCAGTTACAATCTACAAGCAGATTTTACAGGAATAAATTAGATTTAAAATCTAAAATAGTATCAAACCCTATCTTAATGATGACAGATGAACTAATTTTTGGGTTAAGCCTAAACCCAAAATTTAAAATGATATCAAAATCTAAAGTTTATCCCAAGTTAAATTGGACCACCTACCATATTATTATACCAAGTCTAATAAAGCGGTCTTGGGGGAAAATACCATTTTCCCTGATAACTATCATCCTAAAAGAAATCAATGGACACTTAACATCCACAAATTTTGCTAAGAAATAAATAACTACACAAATAATGGAAGCAAATTAGATAAGTGATGCATGCTGATTGCGCACTAAAATTAGGAAGCAGAGATATGAAAGAATTCTTAGACATCCTATAACTATGGCAATGATAAAATTGACTGAGTATTATTGATATACTTGTATCTTCGACTTGGGGCAGTGAAAAGATACAATATTCTCTCCCAAAACTGATTTCCTGGCAAACTTTCAATGGCCATGAAAGCAAAGTAGCCCCAAAGCACTGAAGTCGGTATCTTCTTCAAAAGGGGCATAGCAGCAACACAAGCTGCAACCATCAATGCCTGCATTAGATTGCTTAGACGTTGCTCTTTAACTTCAACTGGCAAAAGGTCATCAACATCCTTATTCACATCAAAGACAACCTCATCAACAGGGGCATCAATATATCCATGACTTGAGGCCAGTTCAATGGTAGATTCCTTCAGTTCTTTCAGCCCCTGCTTAGTGAATAAACCAAGGATAAGGGGAAAGAAGATCACAAATTTCAAATCAATTGGAAATCATGGTAGCACATTACCAAAGTAGGTGGCATTTGGGGAACCAATGGAGTCTGCATTTCATCATATGCTTCTTTCATATTTTCGTATAACTGGCTCAAGTTAACATTCCTCCTCATGCTTTTTCGTGCAGTAGATACAAGCTTATTCCGTAAAAGCTGTTCCATACAAAACAAATGCATATGATTGTCAACTAGCTTCTCTATATATAGAAAAGACTAAACAAAATGGGTGATGATAATTTGTCTATAGATAGCAAAACAAATTTGAGAATTTTTAAAATGATAATAAAACATGAGATTATTAGTAACCTTACAATCATTCCTTATTTTTTTTTTTTTTATAAATATTTTATTATTCCATTAATTTAAAATCAAAATTTACTACTCTCCTCTGTTCCCCTCAAACTCTTTCATCCTAGCATAATTATCCACTTGTTGCATGCACAATCAGACAGGGTAAAGATACAAAAACAATACTCAAGAATCAAGATAGATATAATCATTCAACAACAAATCTGAATGAAGTCAAAGCAGAACTGAGATGGATAGATTCTGAGAAATCTGAAAACAAACCATTTCCTTTCAAACTAAAAAACTTAAAAGAGGAAAAAAAGGATCCATTATTAGCAACTGAAATATATTGTACTTAAAGGTCAGTAAAAAAACTATATTACCTGATGTTTTAGAGTAGCTAAGCTCTTTGTATGCATTGGAGATTGAGGAATCACACCATTGGAAGGAGGGATTCCAATAAGCCCACACAATATGGTCTGGTCGAAGATGAATAGTAATTAGAAAGGAAATATTAGGTAGATGCAGTAGAAACAGGTTAACTATTGCCATTCATTGCACTATTACAATTGAATGAGCGAGTATTTTAAAGAATTACATACCAAAAATCCCAAGAGCAGCAAGTCATAATGATAAGATGAGGGTTTTCTTAGATTGAACTCCTTCTGCTGAGCAAGTTGTGATGCAACACTGTGATCAAAGTAGTAAAGCACAGCAATCATAGTTGCTGGTATAAATGCTCCAATAATATATAGGAGGGGCACATCCAACATTTCCTGCAAAATGTAACAAAATTAGCAATAAGTCGTGCTTTCTTTGTTGGGGGCAAAGCAAGAATGTAGCTTCCTATATAGAGACATTATCCACTAAGTGCTATCAGAGTAAACACGCATTACATAATCAGAATCACCTTGACAACAGTCCAATTTGAGTATGCACCAGGAGACCATGGGTTTGGACTGAAAAGTCGCCTGGGGATTCCCCTTGGGACCTTATTGACCGGTATGTAAGACACAGCAGTCCATATCAGAACCATTAGAGGGACTCCATAATCAGCTATAAATCCCCGTAGCCAACCTATAATATAACCCATGTTTCAGAAGAATGAAAATGTTGATAATTTTGATGCAAAAATAATTCACAAGAGTGCATTAAGGCGATATTTGACTAATAGGGAAAAAGGAAACACACAGCTGAATTAGCACTTGAGGACACAAAATTGGTTTATCTGAAGTAATCCCAAACTTGTGCTCAATCTTGTAATGAACTAAACTTCCCTACTGAATTTTCAGATCATAATTCTTAAGTATAATCAATACCTGTCCCGTAACACCAGGATCTAGCTTTGCGGCTTTGTAGACCAGTAAAAAGAAGACCAAATGACAAAACCAAAGCAAACATTCCATTGCCAAACAGCCAAGATGATTGAAGAGCAATTTGATTGATGCCTTCTCCCTTGTTCTTGGGAGCACCAAACTCTTCCACGAGTCCCTTTACAAAAGAGAATATTAAACATTAATTTCGTTTTAGTAATTGTTAATGAGAGATTCCTATTTGGGAACCACATATGCAAGATGCACATTGCTAAATGGTTAATGGCTGAGACATAATCACCTTTATAGCCTGCTGCATAAAGAGCATTGCAATTAGAAGACCAAATAGCTCACCAGCAATGCGTGTGAATCTATTGATTATGGAGCATGCGCCAAGAATGGCCAGCAAGAAGAGCAACAGTGCAGTCCAAGCACACACCCTATTTAAAATAAATGAATAAATTATTAAGTTACTTGAGTTCAGCAGTAATTCCCTAAACAAAAAGTAAACCACTGAAGGTGCTCCACAGATACCATCCAGTCCAAGGTAGGAATAGTTTGTGTCCCAAATCCTTGCGATCCTTAGCAAAGTTATACATGAATGTATACATCAGAACTGTTGGCTCAGCTACACCGAGTATGAGCAGAGGCTGGCCTCCAATGATTGAGTGGATAATACCACAGAGTGCTGTTGATGCAAGAGTTTGCACAGCAGTGAGAGATCCATCTGCACAATATAACCAAAGATACATTTCTTAGCAAATAATGACTAAAATACCAAAAGGAGAGACTGAACCTGAAAAATGTTCATGTACCAGTATTTCTCTCGAGTTGCTCGCCAAAGGAAATAACAGGAATTGCAGAAGCAAAAAATATGTATGTAGTTGGAGCAAGGATCCTATATAAGACAGCATAAAAATTATATCATCGACTAACTTCGTTGCTGCTGTTTAAAAAGAAAAATTTTAACTTTAGCATGCATTAGGTGTGATTAATTTTGAGTAGAGGGAAAGGGACTTCTGGTTGAAACTAATCACAAGTCAAATTATAACCAAGGTTTTACAAAACAGTCCACGGCCATTTTTTTTGCCCACAACATGAAGGTTTTTGGGGTACCTGGGACCACATTTGTTCGCAATTTTTTGCAATATCAATGATTGCATCAAAACCACGACTAATTTAAAACCTTGATTATAACAGTAATATTAGAATCAGCAAATTTATAGTACAAAACCTGATTCCTGCTTGGAATCCACTGGTCCAGTCTTGTCTGTAGCATGCAATTCTTGCTTTGAGGTCATTTTTAATCCCACGAAAGGGAACAAATGTTTCTTCCATAGAAGTCTTGGAATATCAAGGACAATATTGATCTTAAATTCTGGTCTGAAGAGCAAAAACAGAAGGGAAAAAGAAAAGCATGTCCGTGGAAGGAGCTCTAGAGGTTTACACAGTGATCAAAGCTGCATATGTGAAAATATTAATATAACTCGGACAGGGATACCAGAATCCTACATATCATCCTAAACAGGAAAAGTTGAAAAAGGTATACTCATTTTTTGGTTGATTGATGAAGAAATTGAATAAATGAATCCAGTGGGAGAATTTACATTTCAAAGAATTTGTGAGGAACTTTTAGATGTATTGTTATGAGTGACAAAAGAACAAGTCAGTAATTGAACAAAAAGCAATTGGATTACATATCCAAGAGAAACTCAAAGAATATTGGAGAATTTATGCTATAGTCAACTCTTGAAAATGAAGGTTAGCGCTCAGCCATCGTGACAAATCCTAGATCCAACATTCCCCTCCATATGCTATCCAAAGAGACCAAACTTACTCCCAGAAACAACACAGTAGAAGCAGATTGGCAGCATTCAGTTACATGATACAAATAATATACTCAAACCCAAACTAAGGTTAATCAAATTTCAGTTCTAAAGGTATAGCTATGGAGGGCAATCAAACTCAACTAACGGAAACCCATCTTCACAACCTGCATTTGCTACAATCTTAAAGCACCGAGAAGAATGCTCATCAACAGAGCAGAAAGGTCAAAGATGCGTCAGCTAGACCCAGATGGGAATCTGGAATAGATTAACGAGATTCCATGAATGAGACCATGATTGGAAAGGTTCAGAAGACTTTTCAGGATTTGGGCATTGATTGAAAAGCAAAAGGGTATCTTAATCCGAAATCAAATTTACATTTTTCGGCAAGGAGACTTCAAAAGGAACAAGAACGGATTGAAGTGAACAAGAGAAGAGGAAAAGATTGCAGTTACATTAATCACTGAGATATAGAAACAGTGGACACTACTGTAGCAAGATTGAAAGAAACACACAAGGCAAAACAGAAGAACTAACGAATTTCGAGGGTAGGAAAACAAAACAGGTCTCTCAGAAGAACAAACAATCACAAATGCTGCTGTGAGAGGATTTTTGTGTGACAGTGTTGTTATGCTGAGACTAATAGTTTATTTATATAAAAAAAATAATTTGAAACAGTAGGAATGGGATTGGAGGAAAAATAGTGAGATAGTGGTAAGGTTGTACAACGAACATAGTAGTAAATAATAGTGTGACATAGATGCAGAAGAGACAAAACAGTTAAAACAAACAATTAAGATACAGATGAACAAGTTGTCTCGTACTTTCGGTAAACCGTTTAGGAAAATGATAGTTGCGTGTTAAAAACATTTTATTAATGACTTAAAAAATGATTTTGGGTTATCATTGCAACCCAAAAATTGTATTATTGTGTGGCTTGTAGAAAAGTTCATCATGACCTGTGTGTGCAGAAAGTTTGTTGTTTTATACTTACTTTTAAAAATAATCATAAAATTAACTTTCTTTTTTGTTTTGTAAAATTTACGTAAGAGATTCTGAATGTCCAAAGTAGGAGATAAAGAATAATTTTTCTTACAAATATTTAAAAATTAAAGAAAGTGAAATTTTTATGACTATTTAAAAAATAAAGACTGAATTAATCCAGGAGTTTAGACTAAGCGAAAGCAATAATCAGTAGTTGAAGAAACTTTATGACTCGGTTGGAAAGCGCAGAATATTTACATGTTTACTTTTTCATTAGAGAAAAAAGGTAAAAATATAAAAAAATTTGTTAATTTACAAAATTATTTTAACTCAAATAAATAATTATTCATTTTTATCCTTATAATTTTAATATATATATATATATATATATATTATTTTAATGTGTTTAAATAAATAATTTAATATATATTTTAATATTTATTTGATAGATATTATTTTGTTAATTTAATTTCAAATAATTAAAAAAATATTTTCTTATACAACTGTTTTATAATTAGATTATGTAATTTCTTATACAACGTTAGGTTTACATAGAACTTACGGAGCAAATTAAATAAACAACATTGCTCGATGAAAAATATTTTTTTTTTACAGTATTCAATTTACTTTCCTATCCACAACATAATTTCAGCTTAAAATGTTAAACTTAATCAGGAAAAATTGTTTAATAGTTAGAAACTAAGATAATATACGTAAATAGAGTTATATTATAGCCATTCGGGTTCATCTTTATTGCAAGCATATTATACCAAAAAGCTTATAAGCTAAAGAAATTATTAGGTTTTAAAGCAATAATACTTTCACAAATTTATAATTAATCCTCACTGGTTTTAGCAAAAGAATCAACAGTAAAATTATTAGGATTTAGTTGAATGAAGTTAAGAAGTACGATCCATTTCAGAATTGTCTCTTTGCATTATGAGTGTTTTATGGGACAGGTTGGAACAAGTTTGATTTGATTCATACTCAGCTCAATCAAAAATTTTGTTAAGAGTTTGTTTGAATCAAAACTTTAACCTGATGAAATAAAATTGAATCAATCTAAATCTTTTGGGGTGTTTAATCAATAGATTAACATAATTTGTTCATGAAACATATGAATTTTAATATTATATATGAAATTAAAAAAATATATTCATAGTTTATATTTTGAAACTAAATAATACCAATATAAAATATGTTATTATATTACGTAAAATACTACTAAAATTTATCATTAAGACAAACTATTATATATATATATATATATATATATATACTTAATTGATTTCAAATCAATCAATATTAGTTATTATATTATTAAGTTTATTAAATTATTTATTGACAGTGATATTAAATTAAATCTATAATAAAGTTAAAAAATAGTAAGGTTTAATTTTTTTGACCAAGTAAATATATAGGACTCTTTTTAATTCTATTTTTCCTGAAATTAAATTAAATATAAGATTAATGTGAGTCTTACATATATTTATTTTTAACCTAAAGTCTAATGTAATAAAACTCGTTAACAAAAAAATATTTATGATTTTAATGTATTTATAATTAAAATGAATAGTAACAATTTATAAATTTAATAACGTATTGACAAAAATGTCACATTATATATATATATATATATTTAAATTAAGACTTAAGTGTACGTTAATAAACACATTACTACGTTTTTATAACTAAAAGATTTTATTAAACCTTGTATTAATAGAAAAACTAAATTAAACAAAATAAATTAATATTAAGATAGAATATATAATTAAGCCTATAAGTTGTATATTAAAAAAATATAAAATCAGCACTTTGTTTTAGTATTTAATGAAGTTACATGTTAAAACTCGAACACTAAATTAATCAGACTAAACTTGTATTAGTTTATTTAAGTATTTTTATGGTAAATAAATGACAATAATTTAAAAACACCTGACTTTCACCACTGAAACTAGTAGGTTACTTTAACTTGATTCAAAGTATTCGTGAAATAAAATAAATAAATATTACGGATATTTTTTATTTTACAAATTTTAAATAAGATTATTTTAAAATTATTTTTAAAAATATAAACTCTTGATAGTATCTCTAAAAAATATTAAAATAAACTGTAAAAAAATATAAACTTAAATAAAATTAATATTTTAAAAATATGTAATTTCATAGATCTAAATAAAAATCATACCATAATATAAATGAGGGACCTCTTCGTAGGAAATAACTATTCTAATATGTTTTACATATTAAGTTTTATTAACTTAGTCGTTCAATTACAGTTTTTATTGAATAAATTAATAAAATTTTGAAAATTGTGTAGTATTTTATTAAATAAATTCAATTCAATATATAAAATGCATTATAAAATATAAGAAAGTCTTAACTATAATATTGTAAAAAAGAAAGTAACTATAAAATTACATAATTATAAATGTCATTTTTCATCTCATGATTATTGAATTAATATAAAAGATTTAGAAAATAAATTAGTGATTATATATATATATATATATATATATTACTAAATATTACTAAAAAAATATGAAAATATAAGAGGACAAAATTATAAATATAAAAGCAGGTATATGCAATGTTTATTAATTAAAATTATAAATATATATAAAAGTTACAAAAGATGATCCTCTCACCATCTAATATATAATATTATTTTAATCCAATCACATGTAAATATTAAAATTTTTAAATGTAGTTATTGGTGTAGGGCCTTTGTTTTTTTTTTTTTCCACATAATGTAACGTAACAAAACATATCAATACTAATATAGAACATTAATAATAGTATTTTTTTATCCATTTTTAACAAAATGTAACATATAATGAGTAAAATAAATAGGAGTGACATATTTATCTTGAACAATGATGCCAACAGAGACATGTTAGATGAAACAACCCTATGAGATAATGTTGAGAGTAGTGACAATGTCCTAGGTAATAGAGAAGAATTGATGAATTTCACCTTCATTATTTTCTATATCAGGGTGGTTGCTCGCAATTGGATGATTTTGCAATAGCTTTGCATAGATTGGATAATCTTTAAAGAGAAAGAACTATTACAATTGACATCCAAAAGGGATGAACTAGGTTTCACATTTGTGAAAAAGGGATGTGTTGCATGGGTTTATGCTTGTTAAGATGCAAACAAGAAAAAAAAGAAAATGACAAAATTGAATTGAAATTGTTAGAAATATAGGTTGAGATCAAGAGGGGCTGAATTAATCTAAATAAAAACTTTTTATAACTTTTGAATATAAATTATAAATTTCAAAGTTTGAAGAATCCAATCAATTCTTGAACCAAAAACCAGCATTATATGAATGAAAGACAAAGATGAGAGAAAAGCAAGAACACCAAGTTTTATACTGGTTCACCCAATCCACTGGGCTACATCCAGTTCTCAACCAAATTCTAGTTGAGTTTCACTAATCAGAATTAGTTTGATTACAAGAACAAATTACAAACAGACAATCTACACCAATAACTTTAACCTAGTTCTTGAACCTATGGCAGCAACCAAAATTCCAACTGCTAAACCAATGCCCACACTTCCAGACACCAAAAATACAATGAAGTGAAAGAAAATTGAGAAACTAGAAGAAACTACAACAATCAAACTTGTATGAAGATGAAATGATCCAACCATAGAATGAGTTTCTTAAAAAAAAAAAGGAATAAAGAACCTCAAGAAAGATTGTTAAAGAATTGTAATGAGAAGAGCGAGTTTCTCTCTTGAAAAATATCTCAAAGATTGTTTGATTGATTTCTCAAAGATGATGTTTTGAAACGTTGGAAAAAATCTATTTATATAGAAATTTTTCTAACTGATGTGATTAGTTAATTAATTTGCTTTTTAATTGATTAAAACAACTTAGCTTAAATGAATTTAACTTATGAAAACTTCTTTTAATTGATTAAAAGGTTCTACCAATTTTTCCCAAGACATTTTAACTTATAAAAACACAGTTTAATCGATTAAAATAATTCTGAAAATTTTCCAGAGGTATTTTAACTGATAAAAATGAGATTTAATTGATTAAAATGTGATACAAAAATTGTTTAAGTGTTTTTAATTGATTAATTCAAAGTTATATCGATTAATATTCTCGCAGTAAGTTTTCTAAAACTTCTTAAGTGATTTTAATCGATTATTTCGATGATATATCAGTTAAAAT